AAAACAATATGTCAAGCTATGTCAAGCACAATATCATTCCGCAGGGAAAAAAAATGAAGAATATTAATTCTCAAAAAAAAAAAAGCAATAGATTATCAAAGCCCTTATATACATATTATATACATATATTACGCACATGGGTTTGATTTTTAATATTTATTATTTTTCATTACCAGGTCTGTCGTCATTTATTTCGCCGTTCCTTATGGTTATCATAATAACATGTTAAAAGACACATATGCATTCTTCTTTAATGGAGAAATGATTTTTAATAGTTACGTTTTGATTATCCATCAGTATACAAATTTGATAAAGTGTCATTATAAGAATTTATTTTTATTAATTATTATACATTTTTAGTTAATTATTAAATTTATTTTAACGTATTGACAGAGCCATGTAGAGACGAGAGGGGACTTAAGCCGCCACTCACATTTTTGTTCTTTTAAAAATTCACATATTCTCTTATAAAATTAACAAGTTAGCCCCCATAAAAATTGAAAAAAAAAATCATTTTAATCTCTCTTAACTCTACATAAATTTTTTTTAGCCCCCACAAAAATTAAGGACAACTATTTTAGCCCCCACTTATATCTATGTATATTTCATTAAATTAATAATAACAAATTCAATTTATGTAAAAAAAGAAAATTAAGCCTCCACTGACAATTACAAATCCTGACTCCGTCATATTTAACGGTATGTTTAAATAATAATACCCACCTATATTGAAATAACTATTAAAAATACTATATATATGTATATATATATAATACACATGTAGATATGGAGGTTGTTTTAATTTCTTTATTAATTCTCTATTAGTAACAAAAAGTATATACATGATTATACACACACTAGTTCGCGCGGGATTTTGTAGAAAAATTTAATAACAATATCTATATTTAACTCTATAAATATTTATTATTTAATGAAGACAAAAACGAACAAAAGAAAAGCAAAAAAAAAAAAAAACATTTTGCAACGTAAATTTTGGGAAGAAACCGATTGAGCTTTAGTAATACGGCATAGATTTGAAATATGTAAAATGTTTGGGGAGGTGCAAAAAAAAAAAAAAACAATAGAAAAGTGAGAGAAATAAAAATAAAATATGGGAATAAAAAAACCAAGACGACTTAAAAACGAAAAGAATAAAAAACAAATAGAAAAGGGGGGAAAATGTAGGGAGAAAAAAAAGAGAACAAAGAATAGGAAAACAAAGAGAATGACAGAGGAAAAAGAAAAAAGAAAAAAAGGGAAACGTTTGGGGTATGTTTAATTCGTTGATTTAAATTTTTAATTCGAGTCGAGATGTGATTTTATGTGAGAGTTTTTTACTGTAATAAAAAATTAGATATTATTATTTTTTACAATTTTTTACTGTAATAACTCAAATTAATAAAATAAACGGGTATTAATAACTCTATAAAATAGAGTTATTTTATTACTCATTTTCACAAATATCACTTAGCTCTTGAGATTTTACTTTTCTTTATTGTGTTTTAAATTAGTTTTATTTTATTTGATTTTTATTTAATTGGTGTAATTTTATTTTATTTTTAGTGTAATTTTATTTATTTTTATTTTTATTTGAATATAATCAGAAAGCTAGTGCAAAACACTGTTAAAATGGACAAATCAATTCAAAATAAATTAATATATATATCAAAATTGATTTCAGGGCGACAGATAATGATCACCAACGGCGGCGATTCGCACGTGCATTCCACGTCTAGATAAAGGCGTGTCCAGTGGGATCTGTAGCAGGCGTGTCAGCTGTCCTCCGCCCACAATCTTGTTCCAGCTAATAAATAGGCGACATGTGGCCTGGCCGCCGGCCACCTTCACATTTGCGCTTAATTGTGCTGCGTGTTCACTGAGCTCGTTTTCTTGACGTAATTGTATGGTGACACGTCTCCATTTTAATGAGAAACCAACTGAAGACCGCCACGTGTATTCCACTAAAGAGAACTCCTAATTAGAGATTGACATGTGGTAATTTTACTAAAAAGTAAATATTGGGTCCGTTTAGTTCGCTGATTCGAGTTTTTAATTCGAGTTGATATATAATTTTATGTGAGAGTTTTTTACTGTAGTAAAAAAATTAAATATAATTATTTATGAGAACTTTTTACTGTAACAAAATTTAAATTCTAAATTCAAATAAATGAAATGAACGGGATCATAATATTTTTCTTTCCCTCTCTTTCTCTGCAAGAATGACAACAGCAAAAAAAAAAAAAAAAAAAGAGTTGAACGAAACGTTTTTAAGCATAAAAAAAAAACCCATTTACTCTTAATTATGTAGACATATATATGTGTGTGTGTGGGCAATCTGATTTCAAAATTAAATTCAATAATTATTATAAGGAAAAAGTAATTTCACTTTTATCAAATCCGTCATATATTTGGTGGTAGAGGGAAAAAAAAAATTTCAGTTGTAGTACCATGAATTATTAGATAATTTTTTATGAAGTGGAATAAAATTAGATATTTTAATTGGCCCATAGTTATAATTTCTTATAATGTATAGGCACTATTTATATATTTTAATTATTGAGTAGGGACATAGTTACAGTGTTCTTTTTTAAATTGAAGGCATAATTAAAAATTTCACCCACTCACATTTACTTAGGTCAGCCCAGTGCATATATTGTAAGGTATTTTAAGACCCTGTTTATTTAATTAATTCGAGTTTAGAATTTAAATTTTACTACAGTAAAATGCTTTCAGAAACAATCACATCTAATTATTAGATAATTTTTTATGAAGTGGAATAAAATTAGATATTTCAATTGGCCCATAGTTATAATTTCTTATAATGTATAGGCACTATTTATATATTTCAATTATTGAGTAGGGACACAGTTACAGTGTTTTTTTTAAGTGAAGGCATAATTGAAAATTTCACCCACTCACATTTACTTGGGTCAGCCCAGTGCATATATTGTAAGGTACTTTAAGACCCTATTCATTTAACTTATTCGAGTTTAGAATTCAAATTTTGCTACAGTAAAATGCTCTCATAAACAATCACATCTAATTATTAGATAATTTTTTATGAAGTGGAATAAAATTAGATATTTCAATTGGCCCATAGTTATAATTTCTTATAATGTATAGGCACTATTTATATATTTCAATTATTGAGTAGGGACATAGTTACAGTGTTTTTTTTTTTTTAAAGTGAATGCATAATTGAAAATTTCACCCACTCACATTTACTTGGGTCAACCTAGTGCATATATTGTAAGGTACTTTAAGACCTCGTTCATTTAACTGATTCGAGTTTAAAATTTGAGTTTTACTACAATAAAATGCTCTCAGAAATAATCACATCTATTTTTTTATTGCAGTAAAAAACTTTTATATAAAGTCACATCTTAATTCGAATTAAAAACTCGAATCAGTGAACTAAACGAGTCTTAAAATTTCGTGAAATCCAATCTTAATTAGATCCATTTAGAGAGGAAAAAAACAGGTTACAGAGGCCACAAGACTACACAAAAGAAAAAGGAAGTTCTATGTTAGGGTGTTTTATTTACAGTCACCAGATTAAAGTTAAACGGCGACAAAACACAAGCGAATATAGAATTATAATGAAACCTCCCACACGTGATCACATATTCCTTTTCATTAAAAGAAACAATCAATATTTACCTAAAAATAAATCTCAACCATTAACCTCATTTAACTCTTAATCTCAGCCTTTGATTTTAAAACATGTCTAAACCAAACCCTAACTTGTCCAAAACTTGAGGAGCTTCCATAGTCGGTGCCGACTTCACCATCAAAGCTCCATCCACACCGGCGACGATGCACTTTGAGCCTTGACAACGCGGTCTCCCATGATCTCTCTCTTCCTTCCTCATTGTCGCCACAGACGATTTTCCCCCTCTTGCGGGAGGGTTTAGGCGGAGTTGACCAAGGTAACGCATGGGTTTTGATGCAGGGCCGATGATGAGTTAGTCGACACTAGTGTTGATGGAGGAGATACGACGGATTGGCGGGGTGCAGCTGCTCAGATTTTGTTACGAGTAGCGACTTTGTAGGGGCGAATGACGACGTTTCGGTCAAGATTCGTCGAGATAGTTACGGGGTTTTGATTGTCGTTGTAATCTGATCATAGATATGGGCGGTGAGATCGAATACGGTGGCGCGTGAGACACTTGCGGCGTTTGGCGACCGTGTGTATAGGAGCATAGATAGTGTTGGTTTATATTTTATAAAATTATTTTTATTTAAAAATTAAGTTGTTTTTTAAAAAAATGTTGTAATTAGTTTGATGTTTAATTTGTAAAATTAATTAGTTTGGATCTGATTTAGGTCATGATTTTAGTATATTGTTGAAATAGGTTTATGCTCCATTTGTTTCAAGGTTCTAGCTTAGTTTTGAATTATAGTTTTTAGTTTACTATAATATTTTTTTTAAAAAAAATTAAAATTTTAAAAATTAAAATTATAAATTATAGTTTTGAATTAATGAACCAAACATCATCTTAATGTTGTTATTATTTTGATTTTTAAAATTTGTTGAAATATAATAAGTTTCTTAATCATGTTTATTGATTTAGTCTATAATTTGGTGTCTGAGATATTATATAGTAGAATCTGTCTAAGATCTAATATTTGCCTTTAAATTGAACCCTACCAGTAAAGGAAAAAAAAAAAAAAAAAACTACACACACTCTACAATAGACACTTTTTTTCTCTCTCTTTATTAATGTATGCTTAATTCATGTATTTAAATTAATGATGTTGATTGATTAACGAGAATTTTATGATTGAAATTTTTTTTAAATTTAATAGACGTTTAGTTAATAGATTTAAAATTATTTTTAATTTATATATATATTTTTATAAAAATAAATAAATTATAATTCGACGATTCAAATTTTATAACCAGAAAAGAAACATGGCAGTAAAATTAAAATTATTGGTTCCAAGTATAAAAATCAAAAGTACGAGTGCAAAATTTGAGTGAGACATTATTACGAGAAAAAAGAGAGAGAGAGAGAGATACAAAACAAAAAACCCTCGGTCTCATTTCAGTCAGCTTGTTCTTGCACAAAACAAAAAGAAGCCTTCGTATTGTTCGCTCTTCAATTCGCTACCTTATCTTCTTCATCTTCTTCTTAGCTCTGAAAACCCAGAAAACAATGGCAATGGAGGACTTCACAGAACCCAATACGAGCAAGGAAACCGACCCAAAATCGGACGGAAAAGGCGAAGAAAAAGAAGACGAAGATGAAGAATTCTCCTCTTCCGACGAGTCAGACTCCGAGTCGGACGATTCCTCATCCGAATCGGAGACGGAGCAAGAGAAGACGGATAAGCCCGAAGAGCCCCTCGCCTACGTTCGACCCACCGATGAAATAGACGAGTTTGACAACTCTCCGGAGACGAACGTGGGGTTGTTCAACCAGGTTCTCAACAGCAAGAGGGTGAGGAGGAGGAGAGAGGAGGAGGAGAGGGACTACGTAGACCACGAGGAACTCTTTGATTTCCCCAAGGACCCTGAGAATTGGAAGGAGGAGGATCTGATGGAGCTCTGGGGCGACGCTCCGCTGGAGATGACCAAGCCAGGGTGGGACCCGGCCTGGGCCGACGAGGAGGATTGGGAGGTTGTCAGGAAGGAGGTTGCGGCCGGCCGGGACCCACCCATTGCGCCGTTCTACGTCCCGTTTCGGAAGCCTTATCCTGTCATACCCGACAACCACCATGATATATCCAACCCCAAGTCCGTCATTGAGGAGTTGGATCGGATTGAGGAGTTTCTTAACTGGGTCAGCTACATTTTCCCCGATGGCAGCTCGTGAGTGCTCTATATATATATATGTGTGTGTGTGTGTGCGCGCGCGCGCATATATATATTTACCTCACAACACAACTTACTGTAATTGTGTTTTGTTTTTGATGGTTTAGCTTTGATTTGGTTTGGCTTGCAGCTCGTGAGTACAGTTTTGCCTTTGGCATTTGTTTTGCTTATTGCTTTAGTCAGTAGAAAAAAGAGAGTAAAGGTTATCTATAGCTTTCCAGTAATGTTTGTAACCACAATTTTGTAAATAGCTTGATTGGGGGTGGAATGATACTCATTAGTTGCTTATGGATTTAGTAGTTAATACGTTGCCAAGATTGAATCAGGATTCTGAAAGAGGTGATTTTGCCCCTTTTTTCTGTTTTTTTTTCTCCGTTTGGTTTCATTGGTGGGTATTTGGTTTTGTTTATTTTTTCCTTTTTCTTCTTTTTAATCATCCTGGGATTCTATTGGCGAAATGTGCTTGTGGTAACAATTTCGTTTTTGTTGGATGGTTAGTCTTAAAAAAAAAAAAAAAAAAAAATTCTAGAAATGTTGCTATTTAGGATTGTTCTTGATGAAAGGCACGGATTTGGGTTTGTCGTCCAACTCATTTTCACTAGACAGATGGCAGGGTGTAACGATATGCTCTTACTTTACAGTTTCTGCTTGTTTGAGTGGTGTAATTTTGGTTCAGCAGTTCAGCAGTGCTTGTTGTTTCTTTTTGGTTTAACTTGAAATGAGTCGGGATTTTGTCTGCACTACTATATCTCATTTTCTTTAAAAAAGGTATGTTGGTCCTATTTTCTTTGAATTCTTAACTGAATCAGTATTGTTGTTAATGAAATTGACCGCATCTCATTGGTATTTCCTTCTGCTAGAACGTACTTAGTGGTTAATACGGTCAGAATTCAATCAATGATGTCGTCGTTTCATCGTCTCTGTTTGTTGAGGGAGTAATAGTGGTTCTTTCTTTCCCTAATTGAAAATAACCAATGATTTATGTTTGTTGTATTTACCTCATTTGGATAGATGGTTAGTTGTGGCCTTATTTCTACAGCTTCTTAAGCGCACTAGTAAGGTAGAATCTATCTCATTTTCATTAAATAAATGACGGCTCGAGAGTATTTGTTTCCACTAGAATTTACTTGTAGTTGCAATCTTACTGGAACAACAAGATGACATTTCTTGTTTTGTGTCCGTTTTCATTTGGTAGTGCTTTTTGTGACTTAAGACTATGCTCTTTGTGCAAGGTATGAGGGCACTGTTTGGGATGACTTAGCTCATGGAAAAGGTGTTTATGTTGGTGAACAGGGGCTTGTCAGGTTTGACTATCCGAGCTTCTTTTTTTTTTTTTTTGTTGGTATTTATGCATGCATTCTTACTTATTGCTGGCTACCTAAGTACCTTTGCTCTGTAATTGTGCAATGGATTGAAAATTTATAAAGTGTTCCAATAATTATTTGTTTTGACGGTGCTAGGAAATATATATATATATATATATTTAAAAGGAACAATAATCACCCATTTGACGTACATAGTTGTTTTATTGCCCCTGCATTAGGGCCTTTGTGTGTAAAGAAACCAATGAGGTTTATGTTCAATTAGCAATCACCCAGTAAAAGAACCAGTAGCCACATGTGGACTTCCACATCAATCTTGACACATTGAACAAAAAAAAAAAACCGCACACACAATGTACAAATGTGCATAGAGATTGCAAAAAGAAAATTTTAGATTAATGTCAGTTTATCTGAAGTAGAAAGGAGAACTTTATAGTTTAAACCAAAATTTTAAGTATTAATTGTGGTCAGTTTCTGTATCTAATCAGTACAACCATATGTGAGGTTGACTAGTCCTTTTTGTGTATCTTACTTGTAAATACTAGTTCTGTTATCATATTCATGGTAGTATGAATTTTAACAAAACTACTAGCTTATTTTGATACAAATAACCAAACTTTCAGAAATGATTGTTTACTCCCTAAAGTGTTAAAAAATAATCAGTGAGGATGAGGATGTCCCACGCCGATATTCGGGATTATAAAGACTATGATTTGGTTGATCTTTTTTCTGCAATCATGAAGACTCAGAAGCTAGTATTTTACCTCCTCTTCCTTTGCATGCGTATTAAGAAGGTGCCTTCATGCTTTCTTTGTCTAGGATGTATCTTGCATTTACATCTATGTATTTCTTAACACATGTTTTTCAATAGGTATGAAGGTGAGTGGCTTCAAAATAACATGGAGGGTCACGGAGTTGTTGAAGTCGATATACCTGATATAGAACCTGTGCCAGGTTCCAAGTATGTTTTTTTTTTTAAACCCTAATGCCTTATGTAAGTACTCAAAAGTTCTCAGCAGTTAGAACCTTGGAACTCTTTTCTTGGAATGATTAATCCATGGAGAGTTTTTTTTTTTTACTTTATTTAGGCTTGAAGCACAAATGCGTGCCGAAGGGAAATTAATATCAAGAGACTATATGACCCCAAAAGATAGAGAATGGCTGGAGATGGATATTGAAGACAGCATTAGTTTGGCAGGAGGAAACTATGAAATACCTTTCTATGAGAATGAAGAGTGGATCAGACAATTTGGGCGGAAGCCGTAAGCTAGATTTCTTAAACTGTTGTTGCTTTTAACGAAAGCTATATATATATATTTTTTCCAACTAAGTCAAATGTAGGCCAAATATTAGCATTGGAAGTTTATAGTTGTTTTATTTAGTATCGTATTTAAGATTGTAGTTTTATCTTTCATAAAATTTATTGAGATGGTATTTTGTCGCATGGGAATCTCGTTGATGTTTGCTTTCTATGTCAGTGAGAAGGGTCGATACCGATATGCTGGTGAGTGGAAGCATGGCAGGATGCATGGATGTGGTGTATATGAGATCAACGAGCGCACTGTCTTTGTATGTGCATGAAATAATTATCTTGCTTACTAAATTAATAATCATGAAGTGCCGAAATCCATTAGATGCCACAAACACACCCACACACACAAATAAAAGGAAAAAAACCTGCAAAGCTACTAAAGCGTCGAATACTGGTAGCCGAGTGAAGCTGCCAGAAAGAAAAGGGCTACCGTCAGGTTAGTGTCGATAATGTAGATTGCCGCTGATTTAGGCCCAAAAGTGGTGGATATGCCGATGATTTTGTGATTGTCGCTATGAATGGGCCAACCTGGAGAGGCTTGCCACCTGATGGAAGGCGAGAAGCAAATTCATCTAGCTGGGAAGATGGGTCGCCGTGGACGACGGTTGCGGAGCATGGTAGAATGTTAGATACCAATATGTCCCACATGGGATGATTATAAAATAATTAGTAGGCTTATAAGTTATGGATCCCTCCCCTTGCGAGAGCTGGTTTTGCAAGGGTGAATTCTACCTAATGGGTTTCTAACACTTTATTTTCTAAGGACATTATTTTTTGTTCTTTGAAAATTGTAAAAACTAGATGAATATGTGGATTTGTGTAGTATAAGGTTTGTATGTAATTTACATATAGTAGAAATTAGATTAAACCAGACATCTATAATCTGTACAATACTAGCCCACAAAGAGTGCAAATTAGGCTTATATCGATTACTATAAATCATTAAATAAATCCAGTTTGTTGCCTGTCATATTTTCTATTCCCTTCTTTTTAACTGACACAAGTATTTTTACTATGCTTGCAGGGTAGGTTCTACTTTGGGGAACTATTGGAGGATGATTATGGTTGTGATGCGGAGATATCAGCGGTATTTGTTCACTTGTTTCTTTTATGTATTTGCATAATGAAGGGAAAGTTGGTTAAAAATAAGCTCTTTTAGAGCGACTTCTATATCCAATATGCTGTTTATTTTTCAGATGCATGCTGGTATAGCAGAAGTAGCTGCGGCTAAGGCCCGGATGTTCATAAACAAGCCTGATGGAAGTATGTAGTTTAAATGTTTGTGGTATTTCAGATAAAAAAAAAAAAAAACATGTTTGTAGTATGTTTTTGAGAAGAGACATTAAGCAAAGTACTGTCACTTTAGTTTCTGCAAAACTTATATCTTGGGAATTTGGTAGTAAGAAGCAGGAAAAGAATGGCATGAACAGAATAGTAATTAATTGATGTATAATCAAAATGAAGTCTCATTTTTTGAGTTATGTGGGTATACGTGATTTACTAAATGATCAGAAATAGTTACAAAATGTTTCAAGCCTTAGTCATTCATTCGTTTACGTGGTTCAACAAATTCTCTCTTCTGATCACCCCACATTCATTTCATGCATAACCATGTGTCCATATGTTATATCAATGTTCAGTGTTTGCGAAATATGGGATTATGTGATTTAAAGCATTTTTAGTGGTCATACAGTTAGTATTAGAATTACTCATTAACTAGTTCCTTCTCACAGAAATCTTGTTTATATATAGTGTTTTAATGATTCCATCACCTTCTGCTGCATTAACTAGTTCCTTCTCACAGAAATCTTGTTTATATATAGTGTTTTAATCATTCTATCACATTTATATATAGTGTTTTAATCATTCTATCACCTTCTGCTGTTCATGTATTGGTCTTTGTTTACCTTGTAGTGGTTCGGGAAGAGAGGGGCCCATATAGCGATCCCCAACATCCCTATTTCTATGAGGAAGAAGACGTGTGGATGGCGCCAGGCTTTATAAACCAATTCTATGAAGTGAGTTCCCCTTTAAGTGACAATATGTTTTTATTTTATAATTCAAGATGTTTAGATTCAAAATTATATCTAAAAAGTCCACAAAAGTTAGAATGAGCATCTTCCCTTTGCAGGTCCCTGATTATTGGAAAACATATGTGCATGAGGTGGACAAGGAAAGGGAAATGTGGTTAAACTCCTTTTATAAAGCTCCGTTAAGATTACCTATGCCTGCCGAGCTCGAGTACTGGTGGTCAAAAGGTATTTGTTTCCTCACTCCTCTATAATGATTGACTGAGAAACCAAGGGATGTGGGTATTGAAGTCTAACCAGACACATGAAAGAGGGGTATAATATGGGGTAGCCTTCCCGAAAGCTGAAACCGTTCTGTCCTTTGTACATTCCTTCTTTGGTAGTTTGAGTTCGTTAGAAGTGTCCCTTGCCTGCCTACATAGGCTGATAACTTCTTCACATTGCTCAGTCAAGGAAAATTGGATGTTATCTCTTATCTTAACCTCTTATGGTATGTTCTTTATGCATGTCTTTCTATCTTTCCTTTGTGATAAAAGTTTATTGATAATCAATTTACATCTTTTTAGTCCTTTGCTACATTCTTGTTTAGACCTGAGAAACAAAGAAAGAACTATATGACTAGACCACAAAAAAAATATCCCCACTTTCAAAACTACACGTTTTGGTTTTTTATTTATGACTCCCCGACATTTTAGTGATATTTCAATTACTTGTCCTTCCCCTGCAAAAAGGAAAAAAAAAAGGGGGGGAAGGATTAAAGTAAGAAGTTGTTACTTGTCTGACCCATATTACAATTCCTCTATCAGATGATACTCCAGAATTTGTTCTCGTTAACAAAGAACCAGAGCTTGATCCTGAAGATCCATCAAAGCCTGTGCATAATGAAGATCCCCTAATCCTACATAAGCCAACTGGACGTTTAATCAATTATAGAGATGATGAGGAGCATGGGATTCGCTTATTTTGGCAGCCGGAAGATGGGAAAGTTGCAGATCCTGAAAAGGTCGAGTACCTACCCCTTGGGTTCGATGAGTTTTATGGACGAGATACTGGCGAGAAGGAGGGCACTTTTAAGCGTTTTATATCAGCAGTTGAAAAAGCATGCATGCCAGTTTTTGATAAACTAGAGAAATGGACCGAGGAGCAGAAAGAGGCTAGTGAGTTGAGGATGAAGCTGATCGAGAAAGAACTTGAACTGATAGAGGCTGAGATAAGCCTTGAAGAGGCTATTGAGGACATGGATGAAGAGTTAGAAAGGGAGGAAAAAGAAGAGGAAAAGAAAGTGGAAATGGGTACGGAGGCGACGGAAGATACTCTGCCATTGCCTAAACAAGATGAGGGAGTTTCAGTTGAAGAGGTGGAAGTCAAAGAAGAAGAAGAAGAAGAGGAGGAAGAGGAGGATGGTGATGATGATGACACTCCATCAAGTTTTGGCTCTGCTAATAATAATACAGATAAGAATCCAAGTAAGAATGACCAAAAGGGAAGCCAATCCAGGCCATCTCCATTTTCAACATCTTCATTATCGTTTGCTACTGGTAGCCTCGTCTCCGGAGTAAGTTATAAATCTCAATGTTCCAATACGTCATTTGCGTTTCTTTTCCATTTCATGTCTCATTATCTTTACGACATGTCCAATTAAATTAAATCTCAGGTTCCATCCTTGTTACAACAATCATTTTTATCGTGGAAGAAGCGTAGATCAATGGTAAAGGCAACTCCTCCCTTGTGTGCCGAATGCCGTATTGGCTTTCTTCAGAGACCAGGTTCAGTTAGTTTTCCTCTGGTGTTTGGAAGCAAGGGAAAGTTGATCACTGAAAGCCAAACCCCTGTACTCCAATCGAAGAACCGCTCCCATGGAAGGATACGTCGGCTGCGTTCCTTATCTCAGATTCCATCGCATCCTTCTGTTCCCGTGACGCCAAAAGGAAGCAGAAAACTGCGGGCAGCAAGAAATCATGCTTGGTTGCACATTGCACCGGAAAGCGAATTAGATACTATATTGTCTTTGCACACCCCAGTTCATTATTTGGAACAGCATATAAGAGACTAAATTTGGTGAGCAACTTTCTACCCCTCTTTGACAACAGTACACTTGAAAATTTTGATTGAGGTCCAAATTTTGTAATGCTACAGTCATTTTTGCCTTTGTCAAATACTTCAATTGAGCCTTTGCTTTTCCTGGTTTATGCCTTTAAAGGCAGAGAGATGAAAACAAGAAAATGAAGTGTCGAGTCTGATTACTGCTCTTTGCAATTCAAAAGAATACTTTGGAATTGATCCCGTTTTTGTTTTTTACGTTTTTTGAGAAAGAAAAAATGAAAACGTTTTCAAAACGGCGTTTGGCGCAATAAAGACAAACAACGAAAATGAAAACGATTTTTTGGTTTAGTGTAAAATGAGAGAAATGAAAAATGATTTTTAGTCGTTTTTCATTTTTTGTTTTTGTTTTCTCCTCTCTCGAGCAGAGAGAGAGAAAGAGAGACATTAATGAGTTTTTTTTATACTAAAAATAATCTCTTAATAAAATTACCAAACGCATTTTTAAAAATGATTTCTGTCTGAAATTAAAAACGTTTTCATTTTCATACAAAAAATAAAATTATTTTGGAACTGAGTTCTAAATGCGCCTTAAGTCTTTTGTTACTTGAACTAGATATAATTCATCACTAAATTTACAATTTTCTTCTCTTCCCTTTCTGATTAATTTATGCCCTGTTCACTTCGCTGATTCGAGTTTAGAATTCGAGTTTTTCTACAGTAAAAAGCTCTCATAAACAATCACATCTAACTTTTTTGTTACAGTAAAAAGTTCTCACATAAAGTTACATCTCAACTCGAATTCTAAATTCGAATCAGCGAAGTGAACGGAGCCTTAGTACTCTAGTTTAAGAATATGAAGAGAAAGAAAGGAAGGAACTATATGGAGTGTATTTTCCAAAAGGATATCTAAAGTTCTTAACCAAATAAAAAGAAGTGACGCTGTTAAACTAGTGCTCTGAAAACTGCTATAATTTGCATGTTTTTCGTTAGAAGATTTCAAAAGTCATTTTCAGAAATTGTTTTTCTTACAAACAAGAGTTGGTGCACTTATTATAATTTTAAAAGAAATAATAGTCAGAGCACTTCTTAACGTGACGACTTTTTGATGGTTTGTCGCCTAAAATGATATTTTTGTGCAAATATGATAAAGAAAAATTCCCTCCACACATTCCTGTTGAATTATCCATCAATATCATAGTTGAATTGTCTTCTACAAACGTAGCCAATTTATAAACTAATTATCTAATTATTATGAGAAACTAATGCTAAATTAAATGCATAAAAACCATAATTAAAAATCAATCTCAACCACTGCATAATTAATATGTTCTGCATCACTTTCACTTTTCAAATTAGTGGATATATATATTTTCCCCCACCAGACGATATGGATAACTTTTGCCAGTCTAAAATATCGTATAACCCCTAACATGAAAAAAAAAAAAAAATCAAAAACAAAAACAAACGCACAATAAACTAGTATTAATGGATATTAACTCTGGGGGTGTGGTGATGCATCTCTTGATTGAAAGACACAAAAAAGTTAGATATAACTGTTTATGAAAATTTTTTAGGAAAAAAGAGGAAAATAGGTCAAGACTTGAGATGAATTAAAATTAATAGGCCAATAGTTTACATAAGTTAATAAATATGTCAAATTACTGTTTTCGTCCATAACTTGTCTGGTTATGAACCATAACTTGACAAGTTTGTCCATAACTTATCTGGTTATGAACTATAACTTGACAAGTTATGCCCTATTAATTTCTATAACTAAAAATTGGTCTATATACTTTCTTAAGCTTTTCATATTGGTCTATTTTTTATTATTTCTTAATTTTTTATTGTAATAAAACTTGAATTCTAAACTCAAATCAATAAAATGAACGGGTCTTAATATTCATAGACAATTTTATTATCAAACTATGATACGAACTCAATAAAGAAAAACAAAATAAAATAAAATAGTGGGTAGACGCAGATACATCTCTCTATGATGCTGCCAAACGTTTTTTTATAATCCACTTCTAATTCGTTTTCCCTAAATTAAAAGCTCGTTCCTTCTTATCAACCGGATCTAATAATTTCACTATCTTATAATTATTGCAGCCCTTTCATTTCTTTGTAGGACCGTGTTCAGAATAAAGACAAGAGAAAATTGATGAATTTATTTTTAGAATACCTACTTTTTATTTTTAATTAATATAATTATTTAATTAAAAAAATATTAATTAATAATTATGATAAAAATTTAGATTCATATACTCTAAGAAATATTTATTTCTTTTTTCTGAAAAGACAATAAATAGAGTTTATAATAGAGTCACTGTAATGCCCCCACCAACTTGGCAACTAGGGCTACGAATACAATGCATCTATATGAAGGAAAAAACAAAATGACAAAAGCAATATTATTAAGGTAGGCACGTTGAATGTGACAGGATATTTGGGAGTCCTAGTATCTTATATAAGTGACCCCCATTGTCGTATCAGAATCTAATTATATATATATATATATATATTTTTTTTTTTTTTGTTTTTTTGTTTTTTTGTTTTTTTTTTTGTTTCTGAACAAATTATTTGGAACTAAAACAAACTCATGAGTTCGGAAGCTATCGCCTTAATCTACTTTGTACATTTTTATGGCTTTCCCTTGCGGTCGCAAATTAACAACTATTATCCACCTCACCTCTTAAAGTGATTAAATTTTTACGTTTAGAGTAAGGATTCGTATCATGATTCGTAACTTGTTACAGTATTTTCTCTCATAAAAAATACATAAATCGAAAATGATTTTAAATCATAATTTTAAATTTATAAATTAAACATTCTAGACTTATTTTACGTTCTTTTTGTTTATGCTTTTAGACGGTTAAAAATAGTAATTTATAGCCTTTCAATGGGGCCGTGTGGATCGCAACCCTCCTCGGCCACGTCAAACACATGACACTACTCATGGCTTCCTCCACATGCAGAGAAATTACTTAGGCATCATTTATTTCACCGATTCGAGTTTTCAGTTCTAGGTTTTTACAGTTAAAAGCTCTCAGAAAATGTCACATCTAACTCTTTTTGCTACAGTAAAAAGCTCTCAGAAAATGTCACATCTCAATTCGAATTGAAAACTCGAATCCGCGAAGTGAACGAAGTCTTAGTAAACAGAGAGTACCATGTTAAAGAAGTTGTGTAAGTCACAATCCGTTGCCACAAATTTATCGTGTGGATTGATGTAGGATATATAGAAAGAAAGAAGAATAGAGGAAAAAAAGGAGAACAAAAATATAGGACATATCTATTTGTAATACCTAAGTGAGAATCTTTTTTTTTTTTTTTTTTTTTTGGGGGTTTTTTTGCCCCCCAGTCCTTGCCCCCCCCGTTTTTTTTTTT